AAGGACAGAACCGTGAACGGTAGTGCTCTCGTTCCTTTTAAAAGTTCCCTGGACACATCCAATGCGCCTGAGAGTGAGTTCCGTAGCAAAGTACTTGACAAAAGCAAAAAACAGCCCAGTCTTCTCGGTGTTGTTCTCTGCGTTTACAACAGGATTGTGACGCATGTCATCCTCACAACAACATATCTTCAATGAGTCATCCAAAAGGGAGCAGATGACATCACTCGCTCGGTCTAGACTCGCCCACGGTCCCTGCAAAAGAAGGCATTTAACAGAATCCAAACAATCGCTATCCCTTGAAACCATTCAGGCAGAACTCTTTCCCTCCCTCCCTCTATGCATATGGAAATACACGGGCACAAAAGGAAATTACTCCCTTTTCCTTTTACTTCTTTTTTGTCTTTTTTTTTCTTTTTTTTTCCAGTCAACACCCGCTTTTCCTTGTTGGCTTGTTTCTCTTTCGTTCGGCAATGTCTAATCTCTTCCCCCACTCACCCACTCTTCTTCGTTTTCACACCGTCTTCTGTGATGTGAGACAAATGCCTGATATTTCACTCCGTGTAATGACCGCCGTTCCTTCTCGTACGCTATCTCTCCAACTGAAGAGAGCTCCAGGCAGGCAGGGGGAGGAAAAGGAAAAAGAAAAAGTACAGTTTTGCCCTCACCACAAATGGTAATAACACGGCAGCACCAGCAACAGCGATGGTGATTGGGAACACGACGGAGAGTCGCGATATTGGATTAGAACCATTAACACATTAGTAAAAAAAAAAAAAAAAAAAAAGGAGGGGAAAAAAGGAAGGAAAATAAAATTTTGTATTTTGTTTTTTTTTGTTTTGCTTATGTGTGTTTGTGTGGGGAGAAGGAACTCAACCGCCCCTCTCACCCAAATTCACTCCACCGCTCCTTCTTTCCTTCTTTCTATATGTTTTTTTTATTGTTGTTCTTTCTCTCTCTCTCTCTCTCTGTCGTTATCTTCCCCCGTAATTTCACCTGCAGTGCCCATCGCTGTGTTAGCGATCCCACCACCACCACCACCACCACCTCTTCTTCCTCTTTTAGTTCTCGTCCTTTTCTTTTCTGTTTACTGTAAATTACGCAAACATAACACTATGGGGCTGGCAGTGCTTTTCCTTTAGCCGCAAGTTCTCAAGCTCATCACGGAGCATCTGCATCGTCAGTCGACGCTCCTCGCTGTTCAGCATGGCCACACTGCAGCAGGCGTTAAATGCCGCCGAGTGGATTGTCTTCGCCGATACAGGCGTCTCGCTGAGCACGTCAAGATCAATATCGTCGGCAACAGGCATCCTCTCCGGCAGCGCTCGCCGCCAGAGTTCTCGTCGGAGCTGCTGCGTTGGCAGACGAAAAAGAATTTCCTGCTGAAAGATTAAGGGTGTCGCACGCACATCGATGCTTGATGCTTCTGGGGTTCCTGTTGTTGCAATAAAAATAACGGGACGTGGATAGCGCACGGCATGATAGTAGATAAGCTTCGCCACATGTAGACTCTGTTCAGAGTGATTAAACAACACTTGCGCCTCGTCAAAAACAATAATGGCGCCAAGTTTACGGCCCTCATCAAACACTTCATGCACCTTCAGAGCCCCAACAAGCAACAGTTCTGCCACATTACAAAGGCGTATCGTTGCGGCACACTCATACGCAATTCCTTCCACTGCCAGACTCTTCCCCGTTCCACTAGGACCGTGGAAAAGATACAGTGCCCCTTGATCTACACAATCGTCCTCGTTAAATCCCCACTGTGAAAAGAGTGTGCTGCGGCCCTTCGAAAGCCGGGCCACGGCATCGAGTTGTTTTTGCGTTTGCCGCTCCACCACAAGATCGGCAAGCGACCTCTTTGGAGTGATATACGACTCCGTGGAAGCGCCAGGCGGTTTCTCTGCCGCAAGAAAAAAGCCGCGTAACTGCAGTCGTGCGCCCTCCTCAAAGTCCCGCATGCATAACGTTGGTGTTGATGTCTTCTCTCGCGCCACCGCCCTGTTAAGAGCAGCGAGTGTCGCGTTGCGGATAAGACCACCCGAGAGTTCATAGTTGAGTGCCAATGTGGCGATAGAGACATCTTCGTGCAGTGTAAGGTTACTTGGGAGGTGGGCACGCCAGATTTTTTCCCGCATCTGTTGATCAGGAAGGCGAAACTCCACCATGAGGGAGATGCGGCGATTCATGGCCTCGTCAATCAATTGTGCCTTGTTTGTCGCAAGCACAATCAGGCCATCGTATTTCTCAAACTCGGCGAGAATGGAAGTGACAAGCGGGTTGGTCTCACGGGACTCAAAGATGGATTCACACTCGTCAAAGAACACTATCGCATCGTTTAACTTCGCTTCACGGAAGATAAAACGCAACATCTCTGGAGCCTTAGTGTCGTTCTTAAACTGCAGTAAGCTGACAAGAAGAATACGCTTGTGAAGTTCATGGGCGACTGCATTAGCCAGCATGGTCTTGCCTGTACCACTTGGCCCGTAGAAGAGGAAGACCAGCCCGCCTGTGCTCGTGCCCAGTCCTTCATGGAAACCACAACTCCGCTTGCATTGCTCAAATAACGTATAATGCTGAATCGTAGTAACAACCATATCCGTGGTATTCTTTGGCAGCACAACCTTTTCCATTGGTACAACCGGCATGTAAAGACGTGATCCGGGCACCATTTCCGCCGTCTCCGTCTCCGTACCCATGAGATAATCCACAATCTTGCGATCAATGTCAACAACGTAGTCCATGAGGTCTGTGTTAAAGCAGGTGCGGCCACCACCGTCCAGCGAGAGGGAAAGCACACTGTTCGAGATAAGCGGGCCAGACTGATAAAAAGACCTGCGGGCTGCCACACGCTCCTTTAAATTATCACAAAGGACAAAGAGAATGTAGCCAACAGTCAGCACTCGTTGTCCCTCCCGCATGACATAACGGCCATTAATGGCAATAAGTATGTCATTTGAAACGACATTTCCAATGAGTAACAACATAATGCGCTTTTCAAGATCGGAAAGTTGTAGACGCTGTGAGAGTGCTTCAATACGCGGAAGAAATTTTCCAGCTTTTATTGTTGCTTCGGTGCGGGAACGATGAATAGCCGTAGCAACGCGCACTTTACCTCGAAGTTCTCGAATCATTGCTTCCATCTTTGTCTTTGGTGTAAAAATCGCCTCATCCTCATCCTTTATTTCACTTTCCGCTCCTCGAAGCCGCACAACATTTGCAATCAATTTAAATGACTCGTCCATGTAATCAATGTCGCTTGCATACGGCACATGGAGAGTGGACCCTGTCACAACACAAGAGGTGGACGACGCGACACTGCCATTGCGTCCAGTAGTACCACCACCTTGCTGCGGTTGCTGAAGGTTCGAAAGCAACTTCTGCAGTCGCTCCGTCACCGCCGTCTCAATGTTGCCCTCTTCGCCGATTTGCAGGATGTTCGGGTCAACGACAAGTGCCTCCAGATTGGGCGTGCTGCCACCGCTGGTGCAGTTTGACATCTCCTCCTCGGCGTCCTCGTTGTTTGGCTGATGCGTTGTCTCGGTTTTATCCATCGCCTTTTCACCTGACGTTCCCGCCGCTGCTGCAATGTTTGTATCTTCACGCTCCTCCACGAGAATTTCCGCCAATGCCGTCTTCTCCAGCCGTATCAACTGCTCCTCCGACAGACTGTCCCCTGATAGTGCTGCGATGACCTCCTGCGGCATCGCCAGCCTGCAGTCCATAAAGCTGCTCTTGAGCTTAATATCCGATGTCAGCATTCCCTGTTTTATGTGCTCGCGGTAATCTGCAAGAAAATGCATCAACTGAAACGAATTCAGGTTGTTGTGAAGCGCAAGGGCGGCAGGTGTCAGAGAGCCATTACCGCCGCAATTCAGCGGCCACACGGAACCACAATGGCATACAAGCACATAAGTCAACGTCTCCATTTCGCGGGGCTGAAGCTGCAACTTTTGCGCCACACGAACGACACGGGGTGGTAATCGCATCTTCTGCAGTCTTGTGGTGATGTGAGATGTGTACATGTCAATCGCCACCTTTTGACAGGGGCGACACTGCTGAAAAAGGTCCAACTTCGCCATCGTCACCATGCGAAGCAGTTGCGTGTTGGCATTGGCAAAAACAGAGGTAAGGGCGACCCATTCATTCCAAACATACCGAGACTCGTGTGCTGCAATGAATTCACTGTCATCCGCAAACGGCGGGAGTCGTGCATCTGCGATGCGACGGATGCTCTCCAGCAACTTCTCTTCTCTCTCCTTTTGATGCGGAAACGACTCAACACGGTGCCGCTTCATCTCACTGCCAGAAGTATCATCTTCCGGGAGCAATGACACACGAGAAAGGTAGCCGTTGACTGTGGAAGGAAAAACAAAGGAATTTAACACCTCATAACGTTGGGGCAGTAAGAATTCACTGGAATTCTGCTCCGGTTGCTGCTGCTCTTGTGAAGCGACATCCCCTGTTCCATTCCCGTTAAGCACGGGACGGCTGGCCGGCTTCACGTCATTCGTGACCTGAGCCCCATCATCACTACCCACGCCCGGACCAACGGTCAACGTGGGCGCCAAGAGCGAGATGTAGTGCTGCAGAATCGGGGCAAAGAGGTCAAGCTGTTTATTCATCGCCATCTTCTTCTTTTCTTCCTCCCCAAACTGACTCTTGTTTCCGGCGGCGACCGTGGCAGCCTCGCTGGCCAAATTGGCGTCCGGACTGCGTTGTCTGCGCTGTCTCTTCGCCATACTTATCAGCCGTCGCTCAAACAGACACAGACACAAACAGACACACGCAGAAAGGCACTCACTGGCAGTAAACGACCTCCGTCCCCTATAGGGCTTTTTCCTTCCTTGCACGGCAACAAAAAAAAGCAAAGAAATAGGGAGAAAATCTCGTATTGGAACCTAAAGGAAAGTATATATATGACGCACACAGAGAAGGGAAATAAAAGGGAAGAATGATGACAAAACAAATTCGAGTCCAACTCCCAATGAAGATGGCATTTATCAGTGAGGACAGTCAACATCAGCATGTCCAGTTATCCCACACCTCGAACACGCCTTTGTCTCCAACACCAAATCCTCATCCGCAATGGCGTAATGGAAACGATCTTTCCCTCTTTCCAGTGTTTCTTCTGTTGATTTCTCCTGTGTGGTTCCACATGCCACAGACCGCTCCTGCTGAAGATGTTGCCGAGCATACACCTCAGCCTTCTCCCGCAATGAAACGGGACCCGCTTCAGTGCTCTTCCCATGATTATTGAGCGAGGCGGTAGGACGATCAAAGCGTCCAACAAGCGGCTCTACACCAAAGGTGCAGACCACTCGCGCCATCGCGAGTTGCGTGTCATACGGCATCTCCACCCAACGAATAGGCAGCTGTGGCTCTTGTTGCCACTCTGTTTGCCCTTCTTGTATTTGTTTTTGTTTTTGTTGTTGGCTCCAACAAAATAGTTTTCGAATGTACACAAAAATAACACCCACATCCTCCGGCGCCAATGTCTCGGCGGTGTAGACAAACCTCCATATGGATGCCTCCCGGTCCAACTCGATAGATGTAACGTCGACCAACAAATCATCATGGACAGGCCGCTGAAGGCACACTTCAAGTGTGCGTCTGGCGACTTCGTAACATACCCACCAGTCATCTTTCTCCCCCTTGACGCCGTTGGAAGTTGTTATCTTTGCAAATGCCTCATGGAAGAAGCTGCGGAACAGGAAGCAGTACGCCGAAAGAATCTCCACGTTGGATTCAAACCGCCGCCCACGTACCACAAGCTGCACTCGCTGCGGTTGCTTCGCGGCTGACATCGACTTTGTGCAAGCACACAAACAAATAGACACGCAGATAAGAGAAGAAAGGGCGAAATAAAAGGATATATTTATATACACGCAGAAACAACAATTTTCCTCTTCCATCTCCACCTCCATCCCCCTAAGCACTGCAACTTGAGTCCAGCAGCTACATGGTGAGAATCAAAAGGCACGCACCCAATACATATAATGAAAGGAAAACCAAAACATGTTGCGTCTACTCCATATTCACCCAGTGAAAATCACAAAGTCCTCCTCCTCCTTTTCGCCTCCAGAACTCGCTGCTTCTTATAATCCGTTTGCCTTTTTTTTTTTCTTTTCTCTTTTTTTTGTGTGTATGTGTGTGCTCTATAGTTCTTGATCCTCATTAGACCGCGCGAGAAGCTCCCTCAGAACATGCAGGTTTTTATGGTTCTTAAAGATTGCTGCGGACGCGCCCTTGTCAAGCGGTGTCTTATGCGACGCTTCCACTACATATTGCACTAGTTCGTCCAGAACAAAGGGATCTTCATCAGACTTTGGCGGTGGCGGGGTTACTTCATGAACAACGTCTTCATCCTCATCCTTGTCGTCATCAACCATGATTTCAAATTTGCAAGACGAGTGTTCCTCTACTCCCCGTTGTTGCCTCTTGAACGCGGCCGCGGCACGAAATGTCTTTTTATGCCCAAACAACACGCAGAACTCCTTGGCACGAGTGAGGGAGACGTTGATGCGGTGCCAATCCTCCAAAAATCCCAGTGCCGCCGTGCCATCCAAACGGGACGCGGGATGCAGGGCACGGACGCAGCTGATGAAGATAATGTCCTTTTCCTTCCCCTGAAAACTATCCACTGTAGAAACCTGCAGCTCGCTGCGACGCTCCTCTTGAAGCAGCAACTGCAAAATCGCCTCTTTCTGTGCCTGATAAAATGTAATTATTCCAGTACGGCGAGCAAACTCTTCCGGGGTGAGCTGCAGCATCGCACGGAAGCGACGCATCTGCAACACAACCGCCTCCGCCTCCTGCCTGTTCATCAGCGAGCGTCCTCTACCCCACTCCATGAGTCCATCCTGTACATCCACAAACACAAATCGCGGCACCCTCCCCATGTCTGTTGGTAGGGGTAATGCCTGAGAAGATCCATCGCGCTGCCGCGCCATGACACTCGCATGTGTGAGAAGCCTCTTGCCATAGAAGTAGCGATTCGGGAATGCACAAATGTCAGGGTGCATACGGTACTGCTCACGCAAAAAGTACGAGCGGTGACCCTGGTGCAATAGGCGTTGCAGCAAGCTACGCTTTAGCCCACGCGCAGCGGCGACTTGACAAAGAACCGTAGGCTGCAGTTGTCTGAAGTCGCCAACGAGAACTGCCCGTTTCTTCGCAAGCATTAACGCCTGTAGAACATCGGGTTCCGTGCCCTGAGAGGCCTCGTCCACAATCACCACATCAAAAAGAAAATCCGCCCTTTGCAGCTGACTCAAAGACCCCAACGTGGAGCAAACCACATGGGCCCCAAACAGTACATGATCACGTATATTTTGTCGATTGCTATTCTTCAGCACATCCCCACTTCCATTACGCATCATCCGTCCTGCACTTATGCTGTGCGACGTGTTGGAGACATCCACTAAAGCCTTCACACAGTCGTCAAAAAAGAGAGGCGGCAAGGATTCCAGCACCTCACGGTCAACACTGTCTCGTACACCCACGCGAAGAAGCTGCAAATCCCCAAGTTGGGGGACACGCTTAGCAGTACCCCGCAACCGCAACAACAACTCGTCTACAGCGCAGTTCGACGGGGCGCACACCAATACCCGACGAGCAGTCCTAGGCAAGTAATGCAACAAGTTAAGTGTAAGAGCCGCAATCGTTTGGGTTTTGCCCGTCCCTGGCGGTCCTTCAATAATAAAGAGATCCGGCGGCCTCGGAAGAAGTGAGAGTGGGAGCGGCTTCCCAAGCGCAGTTGCTTCCCATCCTGGTGCAAATGCGAAAAGAACTGCCATAATGGCTCGCTTCTGCCACTCATTAAGGCAATGTTGCAGAACAAGAGCAAGAGAAACTTTCTCCCAGCGCTCGCTCAACACAATTTCCCTCTCAATAGCATGATAATACATACGACTAATTTTAGCTTCCCGATGTGGCTCCAGCAGTGTGCTAGCAAACATCTTCCGTTGAATGTCATGGAGCGCATTCACAGTGGCGAGTGATGGACCAATTGAAGAGAGTCGTTTGATATAAAAATGCGTCTGTGAAGAAGCAAATGCTCGTATTACATGCGAGAAATTCAACGAAATGGTGCCAACCTCATTTTCACCACCAACACCAAGGGAAGCGGCGACAGCAGAAGAAGAAGAAGAAAAGGACGATGCCGTCTTTGTCGCAGAAGTGAATGCCGTGAGCAATGCTGTGCGAGCTCCTGGTTGCAGCGAACTCACAAGACATATCTTTGGAACACATCCAAGCACTCGCCAGGCCTCCGGTATGCTGCAGGCGTTATCATGAAACAGGCGCGGCAATGAGGTAAAGATGTGACGAAGGGGCAACAGAAGAACTGCGACATCGCCTTCTGAAAGGCCCGCACTCAAAGATGCTACCGTTGTCATACTAGGTGTAGATTGCAACACCACACTAAACTGCATACAGGTGGGATCCAGCGGGTTAAGCGTGACATCACCGGTGCACACCACGGACAACCCGTTTTCGGTGGTCCACAACGAGGGAGCAGGAAGGCAATTAATGGTGGAATCCACCGCACGTGCCCGCATTGCCGACAGTGTCGTCGGATGGTCACGTCGCCTCTTCTTTCCAAACTCACGCATGCGACATGACTCCAATATTTCATCAAATTTTTGATGCAACTCGTAGCGCAATTCAAGCGCAATATGAGGGAGAAACGACGCCACGTAAAGGTCACAAGCGGCGTTTGAAGTCGCGGAGAAATGATACGGAATGACAGGTACATCGACGGCTAGACAATGTCGTCCATATCCAATAATATCATCTGTGTTTGGGGGACGCTGCAAGAAATCTGTGTTGCCAGCAATGCGACGGATAGCCTCTAGATTCTTGTTGAGGTTTTCAACACGGAATAACTCATTTACTCGCTTTTCCCCAAGTTTCTGCAAGTGTCTTTGGAGCGCCGTAGGCGGTGGTGATGCTTGTCGCTGGGAAACTAATAGGCTGGCGTCATCTTTTCCCTCCAATCGCAACTGTGGTGTGGCTTGCTGCTGCTGTTGCAACAACCCCCCCTCTCTGCTGCATGGTCCAGTTTGTGCAACCATGAGTGAAGCCAACTCGTCACGCGGACGCCTTACCGCAGATTTCATCTGCGCAACACAAGGGGCGTTGTGTGTTGCCTGATCGCGCTCATCCGCCAGCTCCTTCAAACGCCGTTCCCTGTTTGAGCGACAAATCACTTCTTCCTGCCTTGCCCGTGCGCGGTTCTCCTCCTCCAACTGCATGATTTGTTTCTCCTCAACTTCGTACTGCTGGAGAGATCGATTTTGTTTCGCCATGCTGTCCTCAATGCTCCGTTGCGCGGAACAAAGAATCTCCGCCAACCAGGCCGGAGCATACTCCGTCAGCATGTCCTTTGCCTCCGCCGGTAGCTTTGGTAGAACGCGCAAAAAAGCTTTCAAGAGAGCACTCTTAAAACACTTATCCGATGGAGTCCGCGTTGGCGGAAAGGACATGGCAGCCACATGCAGGACAGCGCGAGCAAATACGGTTGCCGAATAAAAGGAACACTTCTGCACAAGCACAAGTAACAAGTGCTGTGCACATTGACGGAGAGAATTTTGAATTTGGGAGAAGTTTGCCTCATCCCCTGAAGCCGGAATTTCAGCAACTGTCACCGCAGAACTGGTGGTGGAATTTGCAGAGCAAATGAGCATTTGTTTCTCTGTAGTGAGAGGGGGAAGTTGCGTGACAACAAGATCCAGCAGTCGGTCCCACAACGACATTTCTAGTACGCAGACATCCGTCACAAGTGCACACAACCACCACGACATGGTGAGAATCTCTGTTGGCAAATTACTCCAATTACAACTGCACATCACCGGCACCCAGGTCGCACCGTTTTCACGGACGGTCGAGTCCACCTTTGCGTCATGCAGTTTCAACATGTTCTCCTGTAGCACAGGGTCATTTAGAATCACTTTTAGCAACCAGTTCGCCGCGTCAGCGCGGAATGTGTCCTGCGCAAGCAAACTGAAGGAACGAAGAAATAGTGAAGAAAGCACCTCCCCAAGACGACGTGTCACGTGATCTTTTGAGATCATGAACACATGCGCTAGACGAGGAATAGAGGAACCCGAGGAAAGAAGTCGAGAGGCGGCGGCAGAAGAAGTGTTTCCCTGATAGGAAGTATTCGTGTTATCATGATTGTTATGGTAGTAAAAATAATTATTATTGTTACTACTAAAACTATTATTATTATAGTTAAGATTCAAACCACTGCCGCTAACAACGTTACCGTTGCCTCCCATCATCACGGCCTCTTCCCACTGGTGCCGCATTTCTTCCATAGATTCCTCCATAATTTCTGTGATGCGTTGTATGCACTTGCTCAGCACCAACGCCAGCGGCTGCGGTCCATCCTTAAGTGACTTCAGGTGCAGCCAGGCGCAGGCAGACGATTGCTCCATTGTGATATCAAGCACCTCAATTACCCGCAGGAGCAGCGACGGCGAACATGGTGAGTTAGAGGCCGTCTTGCCACCCTGTCGAATAACACTCCGTCGCAATAACGTGGGGATAGTCTCCCACGCTCTCCGTAGGCAGTCCCCAGGTTGTGGCGGTTGGCCGCCGCGGCCAAATAAAACTATATCTGTAAGCAAAAGGTGCCGTAAAAGCATCAAAGTGACTTGCGGTTGTTGAGTTCGCATGGCGACGGCCATTGTTAACTTCACACAGTCCTCTTGAATGGACAGCAGAAACTCATGGTAGTAGTGGGAGGTCGCCAACTCAGGGAGCGTCTCCGCCAACGCCGTCAATAGCCATCGGAGGGCATGCACGGCCGTTTCCATCGTGTAAATTGTGACATCGTCTTGTGCTTCTCCCCTCACTCCACGCAATGCTGTCTGCATGTTAAGCTGTACAGACGCATTCCGCATCAGGAATCGCAGCATCCAACCTGCTGACTTCGCCGGTGGAGAAGAGAGAGTTCCACCGGCGCTTTGTTTCTTTGTTGAATTCGTCGGTGATGGTGGGTCGATGTGTGACGCCAGACACCATAAATTCCGCATGCGCCCTTTGTACCACAACTCATCTTCCCGCGATGACGTCACGGCATGCTTGGAGCTCTCAAAGAGACAATGCACGAGTATCTTTACAAGAGCCCGCTTTGTATCACTGGCAAGTGAAGCAGGCTGAAGCGTTGTGTGGGTGCCAAGCTTAGCATTGAGCATCCCTGCTAACTCCTCCGTTACGGATGACGTCTTTATGTTTATTCCAGTTGCTGATTCGGGTGCTTCCATCGTTGTATTATTATTGTCTGCCGGTTTCATGGTAAGGAGCCAGTAAAGCAACATGCTGCCACCAAGAAGAATAATTGTCGCAGTCGACACACCGCAGAAGAGAACCAAATGTTTATCGCCCGCTGCGAAAGTGCCTTGAAGTAATTGACGCTCAAGCGCCACCAAGTTCGTGTCTAACGCCATAAGAACCGCCAGCAAACTACAAAAACCGTCGGTCACAAGAAGACATGTGCCCTCTTCTTGTACATCCAGCGAAACGCATGTGAGATGTCTAATGGCACACAACAGTTGCATACCTAAAAGCCACACGTGAATTGCAGCGGCTGAAGGCTCTGAAGACGATGATGCCGCAATTTTCACCAGATGCAGAAGTGTCTCGCGTGACCAAATACGAACGGCTTCATTCGGATGAAACGTCAACAGAACGAGTGGCCCCCTGTACTGAGTGCTGCGGGCAACGGCAAGAAGCCTCTCTACAGTCGTTCCTTGCCTCATGGAAGAGGTACAGTGACCGCGAGGTTTTCCCGCACACCTGTCGGACATCACATGCTTCATGGCGTTGCGTATAACCACCGAGCAGGCGGAGCGACTCTGACCCCATACGATGCCATCCGAAATCCGCCGAACCAAACCAGGCAGCCTCTCATAACTAAATGTTTGCGGCGACAACATTTCCTCTTCCTCCTCCTTCTTCTCCTCGTCTTCCTCATCCCCCGTGCCGAGCGTAATGAGTCGGTGATGCACCTGCCCAGTTGCGGTGCGTGGTGCAGCGTCGGTCCAATCTAGTAAAAAACGGACATATGCTAAAATTTCATCGCCCATGAGCTGCGGAAGGGCGTCTTCCATTTTTCCTTTTCTTCGTTGTTGACTTTCCGTCAGCTCAACCTGTCCGTGGAATAAAAGTGGATGAATGCGGGAGGGAGGGAGGGGAAAGGGAGAAGAGGATGGAAAAAACAAAAAACAACAACAACAACAACAACAACAACCCATAAGTGAAGTCAACAAAAATAACAGCAACTGAAAGAATGAGATCAGCGTGCGTGATTCCCACAGATGTGTCGCTGCCACATCTACACCTCTGCCACTCGGTATAGTTGTCCATAGCCGGCCGTTTCGTATCGTTTATGCGTCGCACCTTTAAAAAAAAGCGACGAACACACAAAAACACACACACACAGAGATGCAAAGAGAGAGAGAGAGAGAGAGAGAGAGAACGCTTCCTCATCATCTATGCATAAACAAACAGACAACTGAGAGACAAAAAAAAATGCGTCTCTCTTCTTCTATTTTTCTTCGTGTGTGTGTGTGTGTGTGTGTGTGTGTTTGTGTGTTTCACTGTGCAACGGGCATTTTGTCCACCACCCTACTATGTATCTTAAATGCCGGTGCCACCCACGTACCACATGAGCACTGTGAGCCCACCCACGACTGTGTCCCAATCTTTGCGTTACACTTGCGGTTGGGACAGTAAATGGTGTCCGGCATGACGTCAAGGCCGCCACTCACCTGATGCACCTCACGGCTCTCCTCCGCCACCCACGGGGAGATGTCCGGATCGAGAAAGTAGCTTGTGCAGACATCACCACCCTCCTGCGCTGCGTGAAGCCCTTGCTGCTGCTGTGAAGAGGCGTGACCCCCACCGCGATATTTAAAACCTTTGCTACCGCTGCCAACGGGCTCAGGATAGTGCGGCAGAATCTCGTGGTGCATAAACAAGACGCGTCGACACATGCGGCAGGTGTAGACGTACGATTCTGTTGTGGTCGTTGACAACACCGCAGCAGCGTTGGTGTTCACTTCTGACGGCTGCTGTGGCAACGGCTTCTGTCGCGGTGAATCCATCCGTGTCGTCATGTGGATTTGTTTCACTTTATGATGAAGACATTTTTAATGTCAAAACAGCGGAAAGAAAGAAAACAACAAAAAGGAAAAAAAAAAAAAAGATACATGACAACATTCTCAGATCCCTTCCATACCCAAACAACAACAACAACAACAACAACAACGACATACCTCTCGCACCCATTGAAAGGCAACACCAAACAAAATAATAATGAAGATATTAATCAACATCATCATATTAAACATCAACATCATTAAAATAGTAAAACACAAACACGTATATATGTATGTATATATGGAGGGAGAGAGAGAGAGAAAAAAAAAAAAAAAAATCGCGGCATCCCTGTTGATTTCTACGATATTTCTTTTCCAATTTCCGCATGACTTTCCATATTCATTGCCTCCTGCTCATACTGTGCAATAAATGTCAACAGCTCCTCCGTGATTCTGGCAAGCTTCTCTATGACACCCTTAGCAACCTCCGTGATCTGCAGTGCCGGCCTCGCGTTTTTTGATTCTGTCCCTGTTAAATGAACAGTTGTGGCGCAGGCAAGTCCCATTAGTTGTGGAAGGTGCTGCAGAAACCGAACAAGATAACACAAGTGTGCATCATCAAGCCAGGAAGACCCAAAACCACAAAGGAAACCCTCATGGTCCTTTTCTTTTAATGAGGTAACCTCAACACTTCCGACAATCTTCCGAACGGCCTTCTTGGCATTCCAATCATAAAAGTCTGCCTTCTCCTTATCGTACAGAAGTGTGTGGAGAAAAAGACGCTCAAACTGCTGCTCAATAAGAACAATGCAGTCCATATAAAGCTGTTCCTCCTGCCGCGGGTACTCAAACGGGGTGACAAAGTTTTGACACTCCCGTTTCAATCTATAAAACTCCCTTACGGAACCAGCAAACGCACAAAGAACGGCACGGCAGCTAAATGCAGAGTTATACGTGTGCTGGACGGAATTTTCCTCCTCCTCCTCCTCCTCCTCCTCCTCTTCCTCTTTATTATTATCAGTACCATTTTTGATAGTATCTTTGTTTTCCCCTTTGTCATTATGAGAACGAGTGGATAGGCGAATAATACGTGCTCGAAGCGTCTCGCGGTGAAGATGGTCCGAAACCAGCCGTCGGCGTAAGGCATCTGGTGTTGCAAACACTGGCTGCAGTGCGGTTGGCACAATGGTTGGTGTGATGTAATTCGCAACTGTCACCGCCGGGGCCCGTAGCGGAGGATTTGCAGCTTCGGCCGCCCTTCCCTTCATTGCATATGTTGTTGCAGTCGTTGTAGAGGGAAGAGAAAAAGAAGGGGAAGCTAAAGAATGTGTGCTCGTAACCATTCGCTCATCATCTTGACTGCTGGTAAAATGCAACTGCTGTGATTTTGATGCCTGTGAGAGTAATTGTTGCTGCGATTGTTGTTTTTCCCCCGTGACATATGCGTCAACTCCGGACCTGGTGCCTTTTAGGGCAGGGACGTGACGAATAACAAAGTCGTCAATCTTCTTGTGGGCAAAAGATTGAAAAGATCTCGCAAGCTCCACCCACGACTGCACATTGCTATTAAATCGAACGCAGTTGGATACCATCAGCTCCACGTCATTCCGCAGCAGCACCAACGACTCTGCAATGGTGCTGCCAAAGACAGACGACGGGGACGCATCACTCGCCAACAATTGCCTGCGCTTCGATTGCGTCTGTGGCTCCGGATTTTTTGATGTTGTTGTTGGTTGCGGAATTCCCAAATAATACCCACTTGCCGCACGTTCTCTGAGAATGGTAAGGTTCATCTTCACCGGGCACACCTCCTCGTATGACTTCTTCAGCTCCGGGTATTTCTCCACCACGTCCACCGCGAAGGCCCCCTGATCCTCGCGGCGGTTCAGCGAGTCCACTAGCCTGACCATCTCCGCGCTAGTCGCAGAGGGACCGTCCATTTCACCGGAGCGACTCTTGTCACCACCTCTATGCTGCTGTGGTTTCTGGGAGCCATGGACGCCTGACGTGTCCTTGGACTCAACACGCTGTCGCTTTCCACGACTCGTCTCCGCCGCGGTGGCGGTGACAGCAGACAGTCGCAACGACGATAGACGGCGTCCCCCGGCCTTTTTTGTAACGTACGCGTCAATCTGCTCTTTCGCAAATGCCTCAAATCGCTCGGCAATATTAGCTAGAGGCCCCTTCGTGCCGTTAAAGCGGTAACAGTTATTCACCATCAACTTAATGTCTTCCCGTAGAGCTGTGAGGTTCACGTCGTAGCTGTATGCCTCATTGGCGGCCTTCTCCGCGGCAGTCGCAAGGTCACATCGCTTTGGACATACCCGCGTGTACTCCTGTTCAAGGTGAGGGTACGCAACTAAGACGTCCATTGAAAAAAGACCCTCATCCTGCGGCCGGTCGAGAGATCGCACCAACGCGACAATTTCTTCTTCCGGGTAAAACTTTTGCCGCCTCTCCTCCATGTACGTTCCCCTTCCCCTCCCGCCCCTCCTTTCTGGTGATAAAGTTACTGTATGTATATATATATATGTATCTGTGTCCCTGTGTGTGTGTTTTTGGCTTTTTTTTTGTTTTTTTCCCCTTTCTTGATCAGTCGGCTTCTGGCCTTGCCCAAAGAGAAGTGTGGACGGCAATCTTACACACGCCCCTGACCACAATATATAAAATTCCATGGCAAAAGTAAATGAGCAAAGCGGTCCGAAATTATAATAATAATAATAAAGCAAAAACAAAATAAAAAAAAAAAGAAGGCACCCAAAAGGGTTGTGCGTACATTTCACATGCATCCCAATACAAATCAATTCACTTACATCAGAGAAAACATCCATGTAATGATGTATGAAACCGTTTTATGTAAAGAAAGAAAAAGAAAGAGAGACCCACACCCTTTTGCGTTAACTACCACTATTCCCAATCACCTTCAGAGAAACATTATATAAAAAAAAAAAAAAAAAAAAAAAAAAAGAAAAAAAAATTAAAAAAAAAAAAAAGAAAGAAAAATAAATACATTTTTTTCTTTCCTTTTCTTTTGTTTTCTCCAGTCCCATTGAAATTATTACGATACCCTACTGTACACACACATATTTATCTATATCTTTATATATATATATATATATGTTGACAATCTCTTCTATGCTCTCCATGCAATCTCTCTCCCTCCCTCTCTCCCCTCTCTCTCTTCAATCTCGCTTCATTGATATACGGAAGAGACAATAATTTATGAGAGGCGGAGGCAGAGGCGGAGGGAGGGGGGGAAAGGGATACAAATACAAAATTCGAAAAGTTTACTCCAGATATAGATATAGATAGATAAATAAGATAGAGAAATAGACAAAATAAATAGAAATAATAATAATAATAATAATAATAAATCAGATAAGTTTCTAACTACGGCTAACAAATCCCTTCATATGTATTGCGGTTTCTAGTTTATTATGCCCATATATTCCATCCTTCTCCTCTGTAAGTGTGCATCACTGCTGAAACTTCACCTTCTTCCGTAATGAGAAGGAAAGAGTCAACAAGCTCAGCCAGCACACTGCTGTACTCGGGACGAAATACAATGGGATCTCCTATGCTAATAAGACGTTCCTCTGGTGTGCCATCTAACACCATCACGCCCACCTCAAGATCATCATCAATGTCTGCACCATGACTGTTTATGGATTGCAGCTGTGGTGGGTAGACTGGGATGGCACCCGAAAGATTATGCCCAAATCCACTGCAAATGACTATTCGATGTGGTGCCACTCGTGTCACAGACAATGCAAAATACAATGATGGCTTAAAGGGAGAATCAACGTAGCAATCCAGTTGATGTCCACACAACAATCCCGCACCCATACATACCTCAGCAAGAGTGCTATCCTGTGCAGAATATACCAGTGACACACTGCTTCCACCACTCGTCAGAAGATCTTCGGGGTGACACCTTTTTCTTGTACCCTAATCGTTGAAGAATCGACATACAGCGCATTTGAAGATTCCTTGATACATACTGCTTGTACCACTGCAAGAGTGGGTACCGTAAAAACCACCGTGCTGGAGTACATCCAATGGCGTTGGGTAAAACGTTAGGGGCAATATCCATTTGTGACAGTTGCCCATTTTCATATGTCCACAACCCTCGAATAACAAATTGAACCCCAACCGGCAACTTCTCCTTCGATAGTTTCGCATTAAATTCCCCTACTTTGCCGCAGAATTGCGTCACTTGACGAGGACTACAAAGTGTTTGTGGTTCCTCGCTGCGCCAAAAACATTTCTTCAAAGAGTCACCCGAGAAATCAATACGGACCATCAATTCAAAGTGCAGTGACTCCACTGCATTGTCAAAGCCCAATCGGGTGTACCCACGATCCGAAATCCACGCCTTGGCGGCATTCCAGAGTAATTCCAACTGTTCCACCGCATCTACCACCACCAGACAACGTACCTTTGAAGAGAAATTGAGAGTCATAGCCTCAACGTAGCGATCGGCACTCAGCGCATCCAAGATTGGTTGTCCTAGCAACAAGGAGGAAAAAGTCCCACGCCGTGCCCACAGAAGTGTCTCTGCAGCGGTGGATGTAAGCAGACCAGAAACAAATGGCCTTCCAGGGGAAATAATATCATATTCTGGGCATGGGACAGCATATTTCTCCATCAACGCTGCCGCACGCTCCAGCAACTCCGGACACCGCACGCCTTTGGTAGACAATCGCACCTGTTTATTGTTTTTCAGCAAGAGCGAAACTACCGCACGAACATTTGCTTCAAAGTTGGTATTATCTACGAATACAACAGGGCAGGAGACGGATGGAGTTGAGGTTTCAGTCGCACCTGACCAAGTCCCTGCAGAGGAAGAAGCCCGTGCCACTCCTGGCTGCACCGCCAAAGGCTTGGCGGTATCCTTCGCCGTGTGATCATCGTCGTCGCGGTGTTGGTGTTGGTGAAAATCCCTCGCAGAATCATTTTTTCTGAGAGAGGCATAAAATAGCGACACAGCGCGAGGGATGACAAGTCGAGCACGAGACACGCAACACGCGGCACGATACTTTGTGATGGCATACACGGAATACGCTCCAGAGAGGACGGCTATGGCTAAAAAAGAGAAACGTCCAAAAGAGTACATTTCCGCCTCGCCGTGCCTCCTATTTTCTTTACCTGTTTATTATTATTGTTGTTATTTCACTCTTTTTCTCTTTTACACAAAAAAAAAAAAAAACAAAGAAAACAAAAACAAAAAAAACTGACCCACAGAATTTCCCCCTTCTCCCTCTCCTTTCCCTCTTCCACACCAATAAGCGTTTGCCTTTCTGAACTATTTCTTTTTTCCCTTTTGCTTCACCTTTTCTTCCCACCCACCCACTTCTTGTCCTTCACTCTTCTGTTATATTGACAACTGCAAGGAGGGACCCCACACGCACACCTCCAAAATTCGTTAAAGAGAAAAAAGAAAAACAAAAAACAAAAAAAAAAGTCAATAAACGCAAAGAATATGCACAACAACAACAATTTTAAGCCACATGTGATTCGTCAAGAGGATAGAGAAAAGAAGAAAAGATATATATATGTATAAGAAAGATGGTTACAGTAAAAACTGCCGGAGTTCGCCCCAATGTGGGTATGTACCCGACACAAGCATGAGTTTTCCTTTGGCCCATAATAGCAGAGGTCGCTAATTACGATGAAGCGATAAGTTGATGGAGGCGTTGAACCTCTTCCTTCGTCAAAACCACAACACCCATGCCACCAGTTTGCCCCTTCGCCGTTGATGGACGTGTGGAAGCGGCGCTCTGAGAACGCAATCTCCTCGGAGTGGTTCGGAAGCTGTCTGCCCTTCTTGTCCCTGCTGCCATCGTCATTACGGTCGCCGCTGTCGAGATTGTTGTATTGTGAGTCATTAACGAAGAAGAAGAGGAGTAGGGTCGATCCCGCGGTGTGGTCATCAGTCGACTGGTGGCACGGTTTGACAACAAACCCCCCGTGGGGTTTGACCGTATCGTCGTGGCTGCCGAAGAAGGACGAAGAAGTAACGGTGGCTGTCGCCTTGTGCTGGTAACGGTATTCATTGATAATTTTTTCTTCGGTGTGTGTGTGCCCGCACCGTACATACACCACTCAGGTCGCCGTGGGGTGTTGTAGCCGCTCCAATTGCGGTCGAGGACTTTCAGTGGACTTGCAAACAGTGTGATGGGCAATGAGTCGCTGTCGCACACGTTACAGTCACGTGCTGTGACGGTTTCGTGTGATTCACTTTTTGCGATCACGCTGGTGCATTGCCCTTGTGTACCTTTGTTTTGCCGCACCAAGGGCACATCGCTGCTAACAGATGATGCCATGGTTGGGGCGCTTCCCAAACAATAAGGGCCTCGAACAAAACTGCAGCGGCGACGGTCAAACGACTGCTCATAGAGAAGAGCCGTTTCCCGCCGGCGTGCCGCACGAAGACGCTCAGCCGTTGTGCGTGGCGCAGATTCATCGCCCGACATTTTAACGATACAGTAATAAGAGGTTTTCTCTCTCTCTCTCTCTCTCTCTGTGTGTGTGTGTGTGTGGAAAGGGTGGGAAAATAAAAGAAATACACCACACAAATTCTTCTATGCAAGGAGGCAGTAGGACTTTCCTTCTATGGTATTCGCTGACGGATGCTCTAATTACCGCTAACGACGCAAACGCACATGTTTCAACGTGCCAAAAATCATCCAATGTCATGTACATAGAAACACAAGAAAGTAAAAATAAAATAAAATAATTGAAAAGCATAAAGAGATAAAAGGAAGGGAGAAAAAAAAAAAGAAAAAAGAAAAAGCAGAGCAGCACAGAAAGAAAATAAAATCATCACAAGTCTACATGTGTGAGTCTTACTCCGTATAATTCCAGCAGTAAATAGCCCCATCGAAAAAAAAAGGCATTACAAAATAATAATAATAATAATAATAGTAATTATAATAAACAAAATAAAAGGAATATCGTGGCGGCGCACACGCTCAGCACCGCCGCACACGTTTTATTGCGTTTCAAGGAAGCATCAGACCTAATGCCTGTTTCTTTTCATCTTCGAGAATGTCGTTGTCGGTGTGCCTCTACGGATTGAATCAAATCCTCCTTCTCGATGCATCCATCCCATGAGATGCCATTCACCCACATCATTGTTTTAAGCTCCCGCACCGTCATGGACTCCATCGCCTCACGAGTGGAGGGAATCGGAATCGTTGCCACACCCTCATCCTTCGAGCCAAAGCCATAAGAAGATGCACCCGAAGTGTCTTCTTTTTCAGCAGCAGTCGGGATCGGCGAATTTGGCTTCGGAAAACTATTGCCCCTCGCCCATGACCGATAAAATACATCGGGGAGGATCATGTCTGCCACGCGCGCTGCCCGATTAACGTACGACGGGAACTTCTTCAATTTAACCTCCGGAAACTCTTTACTGATAGCATGACAAAACGCACGAGAGAAGTGATTGCAATTGCGCTGAAAAATATGATAGTTGGAGGCGGACCAAAGTGGGCTCATTTTCCTCAACACGGCATAAATACGTGACGGTTCTGTGTCCGGCGGTAGGTATCCAAGCACGATGCTTTCCTTCAGCATTTGCCGAGGCAACACAGTTTTCGGCCGTGAGGGGAAAATACCACAGACATGCGATGAACAACTAGCACAGCCTGCAAATGACCACTCTGTACCAAAGACCTCCACACCGGTATGGTACACGCCGAGGCCAACCCACTCATTCAGACTTCGCGATTCGCGGACGCTGCGTCTCTGCAGATTGTAGACGTTTAGTACAACAGCCACCCCCTCCCTCCTCCTCTCAGTAGTAGTAGGGGCATTGGATGAAGAT